CAAATTGGAAAGGGGATGTGGTTAGTGCTGCTCTTCTAGAAGATTTCTCCTCRCTCTCAGAATGACTTGTTTGGTGAAATTGCCTCATCACTGACCTGGGGAACGGATTACAGCAGCCTAAAATGAGCCCTCCAAAGCATCAAATCTTGTCTGAGGAGTGAAACAGTAGAGACAGAGGGATCCTACTGCAGCTCCTACATTTCCCCCTTCACTGGGAGTGCCTGTGAAATGCCTCCATCACTAAAACGTGGTGGAATGAATCCCATGGCTGGAGCTCTGCAGTCAATGGYTGTAAAATGTTCAGGAGGGGCTGCTGAGGAAGGACAGGTGAGGGTTTTGCTTTCTGTGTAAAAAAAAATTTGATTGACTGCACAGAGCTGCCTTTGAAAAATAGTAATGGACAAGCTGAGAGGTTATGGGTAAAAATTAGGGGCCAAGCCAACAAAGGAAACCTTTGGCTGGTGTTTCCTACAAGCTGACAATCGAGGGGATTCTGTTGATGAGGTGTTCATACTTGCAGGCTCTGACCCTGCTGGGAGACTTYGATCACTCTGACATCTGCTGGAAAAGCAGCACAGCAATCTGAAAGCAATCCATCAGACTCTTGGAGTGCAACAAGGCCAATTTCTTAATCCAGGTGATAGCACAAAGAGAGAGGCACCATTACTATACCTTCTGCTAACCAGCATAGATAATATTAATGTTGGGGACTTTGTTTTTATTTGTTCATATGTTTATTGGTTTATATTTATGTTTTTAAATGTTAGAGATGTCAATATTGGCAGCTGCCTGGGCTGCAGTGATCATGTCCTGGTGGGTTTCACAAGCCTGAGGTACATGGGCCAGGCAAAGAATCACAACACTGAATTTCAGAAGAGCAAACTTTCAGCTGTTTAAGGAATCAGTGGATGGRACCCAGTGGGCAGCTTTCCTCATGGATAAAGGAGCTGTACAGAGCTGGCCACTCTYTAAGAACCTCAATTCTCAATTCTTCTTTTGCAGCAGCTGTCAGAACTGTGCAAATTAAATGCCCAGGGAAGCTGGTGTGACAGTGGTTTCAGATTGAATCACCACGTTGTTGCAATGCATTGCAATAAATTGTACTGGGAATGTTGAATGTTCTTTTGGTTATCTTTGCTGCAAAGCATGAAACTCAAATTGTGTTTACCCTTTGTAATGCTGAAGAAAGAAACCCTAAGGGAGTACATGGATATAGATATTGGTCACTGCATTTGTGTTATGTCCACTGGATAAGGTCCTGTGCCATGTTTTCAGTGATGTCTGAACATTATACTGATACTTGAACAGTTCAGAAGCTGCCACATCCACCAACTGCACTCTTAATACCTGGGAGTAAATGGCAAAGTAAAGCGTAAAAACACAGAATTCAACAATAAGTTACAAGAGTGCTTTTATTAAGATGCCAAAGTTCCTATAAACAGACTCAGTCACAAATAGCAGTTTCTGCTGAGCACAAATAGCTCTGCTGAGCTATCAAATGTGAGCTAATGGTTTGCATTTCATCCTGAGGACCAGTGCTCAGCTTTTGCAAACTGCATGGCTCCACTGGGATCCACAGGCAGATCTCTGCTCCTGCCATCTAAAAAAGTTCAGTATTTTAAGTACTAAAAGTTAGAAAAATATTTATAGTAAAATAGCTTATCCTGTCACAGARTGCAGAAGGCAAACACATTACATATTTGAGAGCAAACCGAGCAAAAGTTAAGAGACTCCTATTTTAAGAAAGCTAATAGTCATTTTGATGCCTAGAAGGATTGTGGACTCCCYATCCCTGGAAGTGTCCATGGCCAGGCTGGATGGGGCTCTGAGCAACCTGGTCCAGTGGAACAAGATKATTTTTAAGGKSCCCTCCAACCCAAACCATTCTATGATTTTATGTTATCAGACCAACACTGCAAAGATAATTCACAGTTTCACAACTTACGCCTAAAAGGATTTTTCTCTTTTTAGGTCAGGATGTGGTAGTTTGTATTTCAGCAAGGAAAAGGCAAATCAAAGTGTTTTATTTCTTACAGTGCCACTTGAATCTAAAGTAGAATRCAAATGATAACTCTGAAATCTATTGATGTATTTAAAAGCTGTATATAAAAMCTCTAAAATCAATCAGTACAATTTTTTGCAAAATTTGGAAGTCTTTTACCCAGTAATTTCTATTACCTGACAGAAATTGAACTAGGGGATGGCAAAGCAACATTTCTATGCTTATTTGTACCAAAAAATCAGCACTTAAGTACTCAAAGTATTAATGACTTCAAACTAAGAACCAATTTCCACTAAGAGTTGTTTATAATGGMATCCATTGAGCTTAAGGAGGAATTTGTTCATAAATTACTGAGTTAGATGTGACCCAGGCACAGCAATTGTCACTGTGTAGGAGGAATGACTGCAGCACAGAACCCAGGGTAGTGGGCCAAGTTACCTCACCTTTCGTTTTCCAGCCCTCACTGCAGTGGAGATTTGGACAGCAGAGAAGAGCAGCCCAGGAAGGAGCCCTGCAGGAAATGCTGACTGCGTGGAAGAGATTTGTGCTCCAGTTTATCCAGCTGAACAGACTGTTGTTGTACCCAATGGAGTGTGTAAACAAAGCCTTTGCTGCTGCACTGATGCTCTTGCAAAAYCCAGGTCAAATTTACAACTCTTCAAATGGAATTGGAGAGCTCTCACTGTGTGGTTTGACAGCACAATCATTAGGGTCTAATTAAGCACAATACACAGGTACCAATTGATTTATCTGGAAAAACCTGAGCTGCCAGCACCACAAATATTTTTTTTTCCACTGACTGCTTGTCAGTTACAGAATCAAATCTCCAAACTTGTGCTGAAGAACACCCTGAGTAGGTTAAGCCCCTGATTCACAGTCCTTTTTTTGGTGGCAAATCCAGTGCTCGTTCCCCAGTGTCTGTATACTTAAGGCGTTGCACAATTAGGTCTTCAACACTGTTGCAGCTCGAAGTTTCAACCTCACCCTAAGTAAACACATCACAAACTGAAAAAGAGATCTTTTTGAAGGTTTGCTCATTTACTTCCTTGAATATCTGTGAAAATATGCAACTTGTCAATATTAATGGCACAATTGATGCTAAGATTGGCACACAGTGTCACAGTGAGGAATCCAAATGTTGGAACTTGAAGAGAGAACCAGAGGTCTTTGGTTTTTATTTCCTTCCATTTTATCCAGGGGGAAACGGCCAAAATTCACTTCAGCCTGGAGCTGTTGTCATACAGAGTTCCTAGGACAGCAGGGAAGAATCAGATTGCTAAGAAAAAAAAAGAGACGGAGGGGGGAAAGGAGGTATAGAGACCTTTTATACATGACATAATTTGGGAAGAGTCAGCATTGCAACCCATCAAGACCACAATTATTTACAGCAAGGAAAGCCAAATATTGGGTGAAGACAAGTTTCAGTTTCATGTRATGAGACAGGACCCCACTAGAAAAAAAAATTAGAAACCAAATTAATCTGGATTGAGACAGGTAATCTACCAGTTCCAAAGAAATTAAAGGAAATGCATAGGAAAGAAAAGCTGAGCAGTTCCAGCTCCTAAAAGGAGCCATTAGCTGAGASTCCAATGTGATGTATAAGCATAATGAGCCTGACAATATCCTTTATGCTGCAAGCCCTTTTCACAGCTCCAGAATTCYCACTGCTACYRRTATTGCAATCATGATCACTCAGGARAGCAGAATGATGAATGMAAGAGAAGCCATTCTTCCCTCTGTGGAGAGACTCGGAGATTTCATGTGTGGGTTTTAATTTAATAAACTTGATATGCCCTTTAGGCTGGGTTATGGCTCTATGGTGGGATTTGTATCCCTGATGGAACTACAGCTGCTGGAGTTGTACCAAAGACTCCTGGGTACATTCCCTTGGGATTCCTGACAGACCCAGCCCTTGGGAAGCCACCAGAGCATCATCCTCATCTGCAGCCATCCCAGGAGCTGCCCAGAGATGGATAAGAGGATGGTCTGTGGGATGAAATGCAGGGAAATAGAACTAAAAGTGACTATTCAAGGCTTGTAAGCAGGAAGCTGGGATAGTTTTCCCTGCCCTTTCCCTGTGGTATATATTAACTATTACTGTGCTCAGTGAATCAAACTGAATTATCTGCAAATGCCATCGTGATGAGTCCAGGACATTTACTGTGGCCATGGCATTGTCCYGAGGGAGGCCTGCTCCAGGGAAGGGTTACTGACTAACTCTGGCAATAATGGCAAATAAGCTGTTTCCAGGAACAGAATTCGATCCTCAGCAAACATCCTTGAGTTGTGAAGTGTGTGTTAGGTGTTCTTTTCCAGCCTGCCAGCTTTCTCACTTCTCTCTACTCCTCTTAAAGAGACAAGCAGCAAAATGAGCTGCTAGAACAAATTAATTTTACGGAAAAAGTGCTGAATCCCATGGTATTCTGGAAAAGTGTTAAATTCGCAGACCATGTGGCAGTGGTTGAGTCTCCTCAGAGCTGTCTTTTCAGACTCTRTCTTTTCAGGCACATGCAAGCACTGCTTATACATCATCAATATTTCAAGCTCTTAATGTTTAACATCCCACTACTTTCTCAAAAAAACCCTAAAAAATTAATAATTAAACCCAAGCTTTTGCAGAAAGGGATAACTTCTGAAGAAAATTTATAAAGAGGGTGGTAAAGTTTCTCTCCTTTATTACACTAATCAAAAATTGTGGAAATGCTTATTGGTGTTTTCTAAAGCAATATATCCTTTTCTCTTACTGAGATACAAACCATGAAGGAAGATGAAGGACACAGTGCTGTCTTCCTCCTCTTGTAGTTGGCATCATTTGAAAACAGGGAAGAACAGTAGGAGTTTCTTTCCTACTTATATGGCCTGTACCCATAGCAAAAAGACAGCAGGTTCAAATATTCCCAAATAAAAGATGATTACTTACAAGTATTTCACCATTTCAGGAAGAGCTAAATGACTAGAAAATGCAACTGATAATAATTTAGTACTTACATGAGACTCACTAATCATAGAATACTTGGTAGCTGAAGTTGTCAGACTTGATCCTGAAGTTGTATCTTCCTGTCTTTAGCTGGTACTGGAAAATGAGCAGGGTCACAACTCCCAGCACAAAACCAAACACAGCACGGGCTATGAGGATGATGTGTCCAATTCCCATCCCAGCCTCCTTCTCTCTCTTCATAGCAGATGCTAAAAAAAAAGAAAAAAAAAAAATCAAGAGGTGAAAGAAAAAAGCTTTGAAATTCCTAAATATTTTACTGGGAGAGAAACAGTTACCTACAAATTAGCCAACATGGCAGTACAGAACTGTGCTACAGACATGAATCAGCCTTATGGGGAGGGTGATTCTCATGGAAAGGGTGTGAGGACAGTYCATGTTCTCTTTTTACATACAAGTGTAGAGTCCTTGCAGACATGAGTGTGATTTTCAGCTAAAGTAAGAATTAAAGAATTGGCACTGGTGACTTTTCRAAATGCTGCCTTACTTTCAGAAGGACCTTAGAGGTGGAGCGTTCTCCTATCTTAATCCTGCCTCCATTCATTTATGATTATAGAAGTGACTTGATTTGCTTTTATCACTACATAAGTCTTCTTCAAACACAGAGTACTTGGGGAAGAATTCTGGTTCTCTCAGCAGAGATGTGGCTGGGGTGGTCAGTGGAGTCACATTGGCTTGGTCACTGTGGGCTCAGTGTTGCACGTGAGCACAGTCATTTAGAGACAACTAAGCAGCCTAAAGYTGTCTGCAAATTCTGCACAAGTCTGGCAGACAGGGCACAGAACCTGCAGGAGACCTGAGCTTTGCTGGAATAACCCTCAGACTCTGAGGGGAAGGAAAGAATGAACACCAAATGCCCCTGTGTGGACAAGAGTCAAGTCCCATGTTGCCAACTGCCTCGCAAGACACCACAGACCACAGACAGAAGGTGGACAGAACRTGTTCTCCTGGTTCATATTTAGACACTTCTATACTTGTCCAAATCTGCAAGCAGAAACCCCTCTTCCTTTATCATTATGTCTCTCTTCATGTTTGTACAAGTTCTTACAACTCCTTCCTGCAAAGGCTYGATGCACCAACAAAAACAGGATTTGTTTGCTGACATTTTCAGGACAGCACTTGTTTTGCCAGGCACTTGTGAGGTACCTGAGGTAGAAGAAGACAAATACCACTGCATGCATGCCTGCAATTAGAGACAAGAGTTTTGCCCAAAGGGCACTGCTGGAGCCAGCAGAGGTTTGTAAGAGCWGTGTTCTATCTACACAACACCCAGGACATCATTCCAAGACAGGMCAAAGCAGTGCTCTGTAATACATTTAGTTTTATTTCTGAATTTCAGCATAAAACAAAGGAATGAAGTAGAATATGCACAGTGGAAATGGCAGCCTGTAGGCAGACACAGACAGAGCAGGCCCTCCTGAGGACACGGAGCAGTGGCCTTTGCCATAACATGTGGCCAAGTGTTGGCAGAGCAGGTAAAGCTTTTTCATGTTTCACTGCAGCACTTACTCGTGTTTTACCTAACATCACAATTCATGTTGTCTCCTTCAATGCAGAGAAGTAGATCACTCAAAATGTRGTGTAAGTATCCAAATTGGAAACAAGAGACAGCACACAGAAGTGCCACCYTTGCCTAGAAATCGATTTAGCACACCCAAATTGAGCTCCCCTCACCTGAGGTCCTTTGGGGAAATTGCCATTTTTCAAAACTAGAAATGCATCAGCATCTACGGCAAATATGGGAGTGAGAGCTACTTGTTGTAAGAGCTAAACAAAGAAAGCTGCATTAACTGCTATTGGTTTGGTTGGGTCTTTTTAAGAACTAATTCAGAAATGAACACTGCAGACCTGTTTGAACAGACTGTGTAATGGAAGAAAAATACARCCTTCCAAGTCAGAGCCAGTTCCTAGGTCCAAAAGAACATTATGAACTTGTCTATTCATGGTAGCCACGTGTWAAAAATCTGATGTTGGTGAGCCAAAATACTCTCAATGAGTGTTTTAAGTTAACAAGTTATAAATGCAAAGCTGGAGGGGGCCAAATGACTGAAAACATGAGAGATCACAGGTGCCCTTGAAAGCATCACTCAGGTTAATGCAGAAAAGGCAGGTACATAACAAATCAGACTGTGCTGSTGTTTGCTCTCTATTACCCTGTGCTGCCCCAAATTAACCAAAGGTGCTGTRCATCAGCTGTGCTCTGCCACTTCCTCTCACTGTGGTAATGAAATCAGCACCAGGGAGCCAAAGGAAACACAGCAAAATCCCTCACATCCTCTGATTTGGGACTTCAGAGCACAAAATAATTGCAGACTAACAACAGTGTAAACACTTGGAAAACTGATTGCAATCTCAAAGATCAACGCTGCTTCCACACTTTACAATTGAAATAATTGTTTGGTTTYGTGGTTGTTGCACTTGCTACCCTGTGCAAACAGCTGCACAAAGGCACTTTATCTTCCTTTCTACTTTCCCTTGATAACCTGACAGTCCCTGCTCCCAGAAGGGCAYGTGCTTCTCCACGCTGCCACGTGGCTCCAGCAGGAATGCCTGCTCCTAAGGAATATAGAGGGGCACAAAAACCTTGTGTAGCACAGGCCTTCAGGTTCCTTTGCYAGTAAAATATTGATCTTTGTATGAYAGTTATGCTGTGCYCCCTTTTTTTAGGCATCTGTTCACAACTCACCAGTTGATTTACAGAGGGGTCCCCAGAATGTTCTGTGAAGGGCGATGGTTTCTCCACCCTTCAGGGATCGAGCCCTTGCATGGCATCTCTGCAAAAATTCAAACTCCAACAAGTCATGTGGCTTACTAATTAAAAATACAAAGCYTTCTGATGAGCTTGTGAAAGCCTGGTGCTACTCTCACCACTGGGCTTTTGTTTCTTAATGTTATGCTTTGTTAAACTGAAAYTAGTACCAAAGAAAAGTCCAAAAGAAATGGCATCAGGGAAAAATCAGTAAAAAATCTGTAATAAGTCACACTGGAACACACTGCTGTGAACAGACATTTCACACAGGCAATCTTTTCATCAGCTTTCTGTTTGTTTTAGAGAAACCTTATGGGAGAATAAATTTATCACTAATGCCAGGGTTTTGCAAGCATTTTTGTTTGGCTGTTTCTGCTGCCCATGGCAGGCACAGCAGATACTGCAACCAGCACCAGCAAAAGCAGCAGCAGCTTTCAGGCCCTGCTAAGCTGTGTGTCATTTTGAAACTACACACAACTGCAGTGAGATGTGAACCACTAATCTGAGAACTACAAATCTGAAAGCCCTGTTCTTGAAACGTTGGGAATCAGCACTTGCTCAATACACAGCACAGGCATTTCTTTTTTTTTTTGTTTGCTGCCTTTTTGTTTCAAGTTGCAGCCTAAAGGTCTTTGATGGGAACCCAAACCTACTGGGTTTATTCAAAAGATACTGTGGCTGTCCTGGAAGTGCACAAAAAAATCAGACAAACTGCAGCATCATCCCATGATCAGCAAAATCAGCAGGGTGTCTTACCAGCTTGTTCACACAAGAATGTCTCACCAGTGTCACCRTCCTGGCAGCACTGAAAAACCTCTACAATCCACTGCCAGCCAGTGTCTTCAGCTGGGTCAGCCCCCATAAAAATACCCATGTAGTTATTTATGAGGTTGGCCTGCCCTCAAATAGCTTCCCCAGGTAGGTGGATCCATTAGAGGACACAGTGATGCAGTTGCTCCCTGATGGCAATGACTTTGGGTTCCACTTGGCCATGGAGCAGCCAAACCAAACATGTGCATGGTGGTAGCACATCACTCCTCTTCCCATTCAGAGTCATGTTTCTTACTCATTTCTTGCTGCTTTTTTCCTCAGCCTGTCCATTTTTTTTCCATTCTAGACTTTAGAACTTACTCTCTTCCAGAGAAAACAAGGAATAAATAGACTGATTAAGAAGAAATAATAGAAGATGTAAGTATCAATTTTGTGGGTAAAGAGCTGAACTAAACCTGCCCTGAAGCAAGTCATTATTCCCCAGAGTAACAGAGGATCAGGGCACTTTCCCAGCCATCTTACATTATTTACAAATATCCTCTACTCTTGCTCCAATCTTCCTTGATCTTTGCACCCTCTGCAGTTCCCCCTCTGTTCTTTGTAAAAGCCATTGCTCACCCTGTRTAGATGTGCCTGGTGATTGTCTTGCCCACATCACAGTTTAGTCTTAATCTAAGATATTGAATTCACTGACTTTTCATTGGAGACAATTTTGTATCAGACAAAAACAAATGAAATGTATATTCATACTCAGCTGCAAAAATCAGAGGCACCTTAACATTTTCAGTCATGTTTCCTGTCCCTACTTTATTTTTTTTTAACCTGGAGGAAAAGAGAGCCTCTTAACCTTTCTCTTAACCTTTGAGAAAGGAAACAAATATCCCCTGGTAGCCACTTTTAATCTTTTAGGAAGAGATCATTTACTTTATAATCGGTTTAAACTGTGTTATTTAGAGCTAGAGGAAAGTGTTAAACAATGGGGGAACACCAAACTGCTAATGAAAACATCCTTGATAGAAAAAGGGTCAGGAAGGTTGGCAGAGGAAGAGGAAAATTCCCAAGTGTCTGCTATTAAGAAAAAAAAAGCCACCAGCAAAACRTATTTTTCCTTATTACTATGGTAGCAACATATTTTTAAATAAAGCTGTGTATCACTTACTAGGAGGTGAAAAGAAACAAAGCAATGCTTTGTAGCAAAAACAATTAAAACCTGAAGTKCTTATCAGAACATGGTTTGGTTTAGTGCTTTAAAAAGCAATCAGGCTTTAAAAACTCATCATAAACTCTCTCAGAGTCAAAGACTAGAAACTTAATGCCACTGAGCTTCCTTTTCTGACACCTAAAGTCACAGCTGAAGAAGCAAATCTGTACAGGAAAAGAAAAACAGGACAGGAAAATCATAAATTTACTCAGACATTCTTCTGACATTGCCACTCTGGGTGCTCCTCTTTTGTGACACATCCACCTGASCTGATGCTTTTCTGAACAGCCTTATTTAATTGCTTTTTAGCCATCCCTGTGCAGAGGAGAAAGGTCCTGTTCTCAGGTTCTCCAACTCTGTGAAAGCTCCGTGCTTTTATCTAGGAGGATGAGGAATGGGAAGAAAGGCCACTTCCATGTGGTTTCATTCCTTCCCCTGAAAGAACAAAGGAACTCTCTCAGCAGAGAACAAAGGAAAYTTCAAGAGTAGTTTTAAACCATTTWAAAATGTTTGGAAACATTACTCCCCCCATTCCATTGCAGGACTCCATATGGAAATGAAAAAAAACTATTTTGGGGGGTAGAATAGTGTATAAGAGCAAAACACTTACGGTCCTGCAGGTGCTTCCTGGGGTCTCCATCAAAATACGAATTCTGCAATGTAAGTAAACCACAGAATTGTTAACAAAGGAAAAAATTTTCATCTTAAACTGAGCTTTGCTCGAATTCCCATTTTCCAGCAGCGTGGTGTGCGTATGTGGGATRGGACAACTGAAAAGGGAGACAAAAYGACAGAGTAGCTRAGGCTAGAGAAGGCAGGTCGTGATTATAGCACAGAACTTGGGTTTTAAGGCTTTCCTTCTTTAGGAAGTCACAGCCAGACCCTTCATGAAGCAGCTCTGGCAGTGCAGTGGTGATAAGGGGCTGTTTGGTGCTTTATTCTCACAGTAACTGAGTAGGACAGGAGATGWGAAAAGTGGTTGGAGAGTTGGAGAAGGGAAAGAGTAACAAATAARGATTTAAACTTGGTTTCACCAAAGACAAATTGAAAGAACATCACATTAAAGAAATGGGGTTTTTTTTACTRAGCAAAAGGATTATCCTGTATTTTGAGGTGGTAGGTGAGCCCAAAAAATACGGCATCGGGGTGAGATCAGGGATCCAGACAGGAACAAATCTCCTCTTTCACCAGAGGCTGCTTTAATATCATGTGTGAGGAATCAAATAAYCTATTTCTTTGTTGACAAGAGGTACATAAGCTCTTGACAAACCTGAAACCACAGAGGAATCTCTGAACCACAGAGAAAAAGATAAAGCACCCACTTTTCAAATGCTCTTTCACTACAGACTGACAAAACCACCTTCAAGTGATTTCTTCAGGTCAGAAGCACAATTCCCTGACAAAACTGTAGGGAAGACAGCCAAACTGAAAAAACTACCACATGGCCCWTTGAAATCCCTGTTCATACCCACCTTTTTCATTCAAAGAAGGTGTAACCAGGCTAATGGAAAGGGACTGTGCATGTGAATGACAAGAACACATGTAAAAGGCATTTAAAATATAACATTATTAGTCAGTACCACTGTAAGACCTAAGGTACAGCACACAGTATTTGCAAATGGCATTGCTGTGCCTGTTGCTGATGAAAACAAATGACAGGGGATCCACTGATTTATGGGTTGGATTGGCCCAGCAGTCAGTGAGAACCACCTTGAGCTTTCTGTCTGCCCTCTGCATCACCACTTCCATCAGCACATCCTCACTGGCAGAGACACTGAAATTTTGCGGGATTAGGGAGTTTCCAATAAACAACTGCATTTCTGTTTTGAAGTATCCGTTTCCATGCAAATCCTTAAAGATGGTGTAAAGTCTGAAAAATCAATGAGCCTCCTTTAAAGACCACAAATTTGACTGTAAGTTTCTGCAAGAAATAAATCAGTACCTGTTTCTCCACACATGTAAATAGTGAAGGCTTATCTGARGTCCAGGATGTCGGGACACTGTTCAAAAGGTCAAAATGTATCAAGTTTTCAGCTGGGAATGGAAACACAAGCAGGAAAATCCAAAGAGTGGAATGTCTAAGCAATTTAAATAGGGAAAGGAGAAATAGTTGAATGGAGCAGAAGGGGAACAATATTATGAGCTCTCTGAAAGTTCAAACTAAGGAGAGTAAAAGCTTAGTGCAGAAGAGAAGAGCCAAAAAAAGTGAGAAGGGGCAAATCTGAATAAAAAGTGAAAGTCATGAGAAAGTTACAGAGCTCAGAGAGAAGCAGCCAAAGACTTTGCTGGGGAATAGAAAGAAAAACACAATGTCTGGACAGGGCTAGGAAACAGAAACTGGATTTGGTGCCAAGAGTTTGAGCGCAATAACAGGGAAGAGAGAGCAGGTGCACTTGTATGAAGGGAGGACACTCCCCATGAGATCAAAGCTTGTACTGTCACTTTTTCTATGAGCATGGCCTTGATTTTCTGTGAAGCATAGCTCTGATTCCCATCTTACTTGAAGGTGGGGCCTTCCACAACAAAAGAAGATTATTTGCATCACATATCTTCTGTTTTTTTTAAGTTGACNGGGGGGGGGGGTAAAAATTCCCATTCTCAGAGCCCACATAGGAGCTTGCAGGCCCACATCAGGTGGAAAGCTGCGTGACTGATATGCTCCAAAAGCAGAGAAAGGCTGTTGTTGCTAYATGGGATTGTCCAGGAAGGCAAAGAGGAGTTAGGAATTCTGACTCCTGAGCCAGTGGCTCCAAAAGCTTTATTTTTATCTGTGGTTTATCCAGGTACGAACAAAGCTTGTTGGATTTACTGGCACATTAGCTGGAGTAGGAGAGAAGCACCAAGCTGGGATCTCCTGAGCACAGGGCTCCCAGGATGGGAGATTGCTCCAAGTACTGCCACTGGATACAGCTACAGTCCCTGGGGCATTTTCCAATGCAGCAGCACTCAGGCACACAGCAGCATCTCAAAGCAGAGAGAGCTGCTCCTCACCCATCTGCAGTGTACCCAGAGGAAGTCAAGACATCATTTTGAAACACGCAGTGAATGGGACTGGCAGTGTTCAAATGGTGGATTATTCCCCGAGAAAAAACATCATTCCGAAGGATGGTTCTCACTACGGCAGAGATCATGTTCTGCAACACACACAGAAGAAAGCACAGCTTGTGAACATCAGTGTTTTGGGGGATGTAGCAGAGCTTTCCAGCTTCAGGTTCTTGGGTATACCCCATTCTCCAGATGGTAAAAATCAAACAAATTAAACCTCTGGTGTCTTTGTTGCAGTACAGGGAGACTGAAAATCCAGCAGTCTTACTTCTTTTCCTTCTTATCATATCATAGAATCACAGAATGATTTGGGTTCGAAGGAATCTTAAAGATCATCTTATTTCAAACCCCCTGTGATGGGCAAGGACATCTTTCACTAGACTGGGTTGCTCAGACCCCCATCCAACCTGGCCTTGAACACTTCCAGGGATGGGGCAATGATCATTCCTTAGCAATGACCATTGATCCAGAAGGGAGTTTCTGCACTTTGGCATGGTCTGACCATGCTGTTGGTTTGGGATCCAATGAGACCTATCACTCTTCGTCTCTGCTACAGGTGGTAGTTGAAGTATTTGTCAAAATGAGATCATGAAATTGCTTTTAAGAAAAGGCAACTGCAAAGGGAACCCAGGAGAGCCATGGGAAGTGACTGTTTGGAGAGGCCCTCGAATTTCATTGCCTGACTTGAAAATTCCCTTTCTCTTTCATGCTTGTCCCTCATTGCACACTGAGAGGTAACTTTCCACCACTGGAAGGGAATTYTTTTCTTCAAAGGAAATTCAGAAAATAATAGACTGTATAAATACCTAAGGGTCTGCCACTGCTCCTCCCCTCACACCTGCCAGAGAAAAAAAAAGTGCTCCAGAGCTTGTTGGCATTCCCTGGCTCAAAGAACTTACGGTCTAAACTTGGGTGCCACAGTTGCTCCAGCTCACCTGCAGCACAATGTGGGTGCCATTGCTGGTGCTCACATTGCAGCCAGGCTCCCCCAGGAACAGGGAACTCTCTGGGATAGATTCCTGCTGCAAGAATCTCTTCTGGATGGTGAGGACAATCCTCACAAAACACACTCACTGTGTCTGTAATGGAAACCTCTTGGGAGGGTTTGGTAAGGGGGACTGGAGRTGCTTGAGGAGAAACATCAGGAGTTGCCATGGGATCCGTGGTGAGAGGAGGCAGCACCGTGCTAGAGAACATGGTGTCCTCCAGAGCTTTGTTCTCAACARGAGAGAAATCCAGTGAAGCTGGGGAAGAAACATGAGTTGAAGTTTGCAAAGATGTCACAAGTAAAACCATGCTGCACACAGGTTTCTTATCCATCACTGTTGTATTCTGGCTGAAGGGAAACGCTGAAGAGTGACAAAAATAAAGGTTCTGTTGTAGTTTACAAGCTCAGATTGGTTTCGTAAGGCAAAAGAAAGGAGGAAAYTCACAGTTACTGGCAGGAAACTAGTTTCTTTTGTTCTTTTAACCTCTACTTACTGTCAGAGCAGGGGCTTTTTTTAAAAAAGGAGCCCAAGAGACACATAAAGTGCCCATCAGTAAAGCTGAAGTGCTTTATTTCCTGGCAGCTGCAATAACTAGCATGTAACACATGTATCTAGAGCTTTTGGAAGATCAGTGCTTGCACGATATCACCTGATGGAAGTTGTTCCACAAGTGCTCCTGGTTTTGCCTGGTCCTGTAGGAAACTACACAAAAATTAGACAGGATTGACAAAATTGTGACACTCCCCCAGCTCTGGCTGGGGGTGAAAACAGGAGCAGAGTTTGATAAAATACCCAGCCTCATTTGTGACCAGTTGCTACCCAAAAGATGGAACCTTGAGCGCTTCAGAAGACTCATTTTGTGGTAAATGTGGGACAAACCAATGTGGCAGCCCCACATTGCACATGTGTGTCCTGAGAGGGGTGAACAATTGTGTCAGTAGCACTCTCTGATGGTTCCAGGGAGAAAGCAAATGGRGAAAAAGGGAAGCACAGGTTGAGATCAGTSTGGGGTTCAAATACCCCATGTCCAGCACAGGGTTGGGGTCACCCCCTGGCTCTTTGCTGGTAGAAGCACCCTGAGTATTCACCCACCACTGACTGAGAGGGAATCAATATAATAAATTCCATTTGCAAGAAAGCACAAAGGATGGATCTCATCACACAAGATTTCTCTTAAAAAATTTTAGTGGTGGGAACATACAAATACCATCTCTTTCCCAAGCAATRTATAAAATCTGTACACAGATATAAATCCTGCTGCTCAGGAACAGTTCAGCTTCCAGAAATGCCCCAAATGAAAAAGTCATTGATTTGCGCAATAGAGGAAGAAAAATATAAGTCGGAGCTCTCTCAGAGCTGTATTTCCCAAAGAGGATTATCACATTAATATCTTAGTTAAACAAAACTGAACAAAGGTTGGGATCAATTGACAAATTGCGGTGACTTCAGTAAAAATGTTCCTYATCACTGTGGTTACAAAACCAAATAAAAAGGCTGAAGAAGCCTAAGAAAATTTAGGAGCTTAAAGCCCATCATCCGTCAGCTAACAAATGGCCTGAGGAATGAGAGAAGCCAAATGAATTACCTCAAAAAGGTAGTTTGWAATGCCAGCATTTTCTCCCTGCTGCCATACAGAGATCAAGTATCATATCAAGTATTTTGCTACCTACTCTATAATCTCCTCTGTCCCCTCTGCTTCTGCTAATAACTCACAATCTTGACAATCCTATCTAATTTTTGTGGCAAAYATAAGAAACAGAACTGTTAAAAGAACCTTACAAACACAGCATGAAATATTAATATTGTACATTCTCACTCCCAAAATGCTCAACAGCCCAAGGGAATGGTTCTAACCCCAGGGACCTCCTCACTTTTTCCCTCATTTCACAGTCCTGAGGAAATCCTGAGTAAATGCCCAGCATGAGTGAAGCAGGTGGTTTGTGTACTGGTCCAAGTTGCGGTCTAGCTGCTTTCTCAATTTTTACCTGGATCCAATTTTCATTTTTTGAGATTAAGAAATATGCTTATACTTCCATTTCTCTTCCCAGAGTTTAAAAACCAGAGTAAACAAGGTCATTCAACCATAGATGGGAAGTAACACCAACCACCTGCTCTGTAGGGACCTGTCCCTGCAAGAAATTATTTGTTTTAAACAAGGTTTGAGGAGRGCAACCACTCTACAAAGCATTACAAACAAGGTAGGTAAGTGTGACTTTACTAATTACCAGGACATGTGACTTTCCAGATTTACAGCTGTGAGTATAACATGCAAAAAATAAATGTATAGAGAAGAGTAAAAACACATTTCCGAAGTAATTTTGCATGAGATTCTAATTGACATTATAAAAACAAGCTTATAGCATCATTCTTTGGACAAATGGATTGGGATATAGTATTTGGTGKTTTTTTCAGAGGTGACTTGTGAAACAGAATTCAGCAGAATTCTCTTAGTCAGGAGACTAATATTTCTTGTTACTTACTCAATTATGTATGAAGGAAAAGAAGTTGTGCATTCAGCCATAATGCTGGGCTTGGCAAAGTGCAGAGCTCCAGACCCACAGATGTGCGAGGAAAACAACTACTGCCAGTGCAGAATTTACATGTTCATGTGTATTCTTGGATTTCTATCTCATGGAAAAATTATCCTTGCAAAGCAGAGGGTAATGCAGTTTAAAATTATTTTTAACAGGGATAGCTGTGGCTGTGCTCAGGAACTCTTTTCCACTGGTAGCTTATAAACACCTCAATTCATGACCATTGTTTCTAACATCTCCTTTGCTTTTTCTCTATAAAACTGACACTTTTTTTGGTACAGACAGAAAGACCAGACAGAAAGAACAGCTGGTTTTGTCCTTTTGGATCAGCAGTACCTCACTTCCTGTGAGGTGTTCCATGGGTGTTCTCTGAAAATYTTTTTGGATGGATAAGCAGGAGCAATACAAGGAGAGAGAAAGGCTTTTCATACATCTGTTTTACAGATGTTTTCACCTCAAAGATACAGATTAATTATAACCTTTATCATCTATCTGGTTCTGAAGAACCATTGGGGCACCAGCTGCCTCTTACCATGTATGGAGAGGCTGCTGCTGTCCATGGTGAAGTAGGAAATGTGTTCCAAGGCCTCACAAAAAGTGGTGATGATGTGGTGGACGTTCACATCTTGTGCAACCAACAAATAAAAACTTACCACTGTGCTCCCATTAGAAACACCCATTATCAGCACTTTAATCAGACCAACATCCATCTGCTGAAGCACCTCAAGGGGCAGAGATTTACGTAACTGGAATAAAAACAATATATGTGGAGAAGGCTGATGGAGCAATTACATTTCAGGCTGTGTACACTGCCCAGAAATGAGTGTTGTGCTTGCTGCTCTGGAGGGAAGCAGCAGAAAATTGACCTTTTGTTTTATAACATTTTCATTCTGCAGCAGCTGAAGGATGTGGTGCATCTTTAGCCATGAATATTAAAYAAGCCAAGTGATTAAGACATCTCATCTGTCATTTGGCACAGGAGCTTGCCTCTGGTAACAGAAAGGGAGGGAGGAGACTGCAGGGAAGCTCCCAKGCTCTGCCTCTCAAAGTGCCTCTGGGGAGAGGGGCAATCCAAAACAAGGAATTGCTGGTGGAAGTGAAGATGCTCCTGACACTCCTCACTGCCTCAGCCCAGGAATGTAACAACTTAGAGCCGATGATCTTCAAGCCTTGCTTTACAGCTGATATCTCACCAGAGCCAAGCAAAACCCACCTCTTTTTCRATGCCCAGACCAGGGTACTAAGGGGGCAGGTGGGAGGCCACACCATGGCCACCTCCAACCACTTCTTCCTCTGCATGACTTCTGCAGGAAATATCTGGAGCAGCAGGGCTGGATTTCAGCCGTGAGGTTAAGGCAGAGTTTATTTCAGTGTGTGATGCTCAGRGCTGCCAACAGCGATTCCCACCAGGAAGAGCCCAGGGAAGAAGCAAGCGCTGGGAGCTGTCAGGAGAAGCAGCCTTGTTTCCCTTGCACCCACGCCCAGAGCTGGTGCATTTATTCTGGATTTTCACAGCTTTTGCACACCCTTGTGCCCTGCCTGCTGTGCACTGCCCAACCCTGACTTCCCCAGGTCTGTCATCCAGCCCTGAGGTGATGCCAAGATTTGCAGGCATCCTGCAGCCCCTCCCTGAGTCACCAGAGCTGATGTGTTTCTCGTGCTGGGTGCCAAGGTAACGTGGCACAGAGCAAATCCCCTGTGTGCCCCTGGAAAGGGCTCCCACGTGCCTGCAAGTCCTACACAGCAAACCTTAGAGTGCCCCATGGAGCACCCAGGCAGAGCTGGGAGGATGAAAACAGMTATCTTAAAGCCTAGGCAGACCATAGGTTGTCCTTTTCAGACCCAAAATCTCCCATTTCACCAAGACAGAACTCCTGGGGCGGCTTCTATTCTCTCTGCTGTTTCACGAGCATGTGGTGAAAAGTTGGAGGTCAGACCTAAGTTTTCAGCTTTCATAGTTTTTGTCTGAACTTCTCAACATTAAACACAGACACCCACGACATCCACTTAGCCARCTTAGCTGACTTAATTGTCTTTCCTGATTTATCCTGAAAAATTCATTTTATTTTATCAGTTCTTCTTTCTCACAGAATCACAGAACCATTTAGGCTGGAAAAGACTTCTGAGATCATCAAGTCCAAGCTGTGCCTGATCCCCACCTTGTCACCCAGCCCAGAGCACTGAGTGCCACAYCCAATCCTTCTGTGGACACCTCCAGGGATGGGGGCTCCAMACCTCCCTGGCAGCCCCTTCTGATGCATGACARCCCCTTCAGTGAAGAAATTCTTCCTGATGTCCAACCTGAACCKCCTCTGGCCCAGCTTGAGGCCGTTTCCTCTTGTCCTGTCACTTGTTTGCTGTGACCAGAGCCCGATCCACACCTGGCTACGGTGTTTGTTTGTTTTGTTTTTGTCTTTATTCCTGCTTTTTCCTCCCAAAGCAGGACTCAAAGATTGAAAATGTTAGGGCACATTCGCAGTATTTCTATTTAGCCACTAGGCGACACTACAAAACCCTTTATCCAAAAGGCTTCAGAATTTCCCAACAGGTACCACACCCTGGGTTATCAAAAAGATGCTTGATGAAAGAGGGCTGGAAAAAAACGGGGGGAAAGAGAACTTTTTGGAAGGAAATATTCAATATATAATACCCTTGAGTACAGGGGTCTCCTACACGACAAATAATCTTTGGKTCTGTCATGGTATCTACAATTTCTGTAGCACACAAAGAAAACCTGAGCAGGAATGCATTGACAATCTGGGAAACTGGGATCAATTAAGTAAAATGTACATTAATTTGAACAGAATACTGCATGAAATCTAGTTTTTTCACTCAGAGATTAAACCCACCCCCCTCCCCCTGTCTATGCTTCAACTGCACCTTCAGGGAGAAGGTACCAGAGCACACATCTGCTCAGCCACCATCACCAGCAGCTTCCAGGATGTGGATGTGGATAAACCCAATTTAAAAAAGGGTGAAATTACATTGGAATAGTGAAATTTCTTTAATCCCTGTGCCAACACTCATTCCACATTCAGATGGCTTTAACTGCAATCATTTTAATTGCATTCAGCTACACAAACACAAGCTGTGTGAATTCCAGATGAGAGAGGTCACCTTCATAAGGCATTATCATTTATTACTTTCACACCTGTTGTCACTCAGCTAAGTTTAAGACCCAAATTCAAAATACACTGTCCAACTGGGAATATAGTGCACCTCAGTGAATGTATTTACAATTAAAACMTTTTGTTTTCCTGATTCATTTTCTTGAGGACAAGCCATGATATTCTCCATGGCTGTTGTAAAACACAAGCTGAACAAACCCCAAGACTTAAATACTCTCTTACCTTTAGTTATGTTGGTTTTAGTWGCATTGCAAGGGGGGTGGTTGAACTGGCCTGGACAATGACAGTGCAAGCTGTCACATCAAGTTTTTACCTCCTTCTTATCTACACATTATTTAAAGGATGATATCTCCATTTGCTGTGCTGCCAATTTAAACCACATGGCACTTAAGTGCTGGGGCTAAAGAACATTATACACTATTAAGATTTATAAATCTTCTGAATTGTAGATGGTGACTCCAGAGAGGTTTTAAAAAAAAAATCTCTGACAAAGTGTATTTAAGTGGAACCTGAGAGTGCTTTTAAAGCTCATAAAACTTTCCTCATTTACTTTAAAAGATCCATTTCTGGTCCTCATGACCTGAAAAGAAAATACGCAGATCTTTCTGGTCTCCTAAATTTCCTTTGGCATCTAGAAATGCAACATTTGTAAYATTACTTACAGCAGCTATGCAATTATAACCCTTATAGAGAGGCTCAGAGGTTGAAAGAATCAACACTAACACATCTCTCCAGCTGATCCACAAACCCTGAGTGCTGGGAAAAGRAGTTCCTTACAATCACAAGCAATCATTTTCTGCCTGAAAATTTGAGACCCAGGGAAAACTGACATAAAACTTTCTTTTGATCCTTTATGCAATCATTTAAAAATTTTTCCTAAACACATTTTGTGCCTGTGATTTTCTGGACTAAGATATCTGATTGAGTGGAGAAAATACATTAATTTCAGTCCATTTCAATACTGTGCTATTCTGAAATAGCCTCGGGCAGAGCATGGTGCTGAATGAGAGTGAAGTCAGTGGAGAATTGCTYCCTTTTCACTTTGCTAAACACGTCACTCTTGTTTTGTCAGTTTTTCTGATATGATAGCTCAGGGCCAAAACAGGAAAGCTGTGCTGTGCTAACACACCCAGAAAGGTGCAAACCAGTCATGGCCAGTGGGAAACTGATTTGAGGTCCAAGAAGGATAAATGGAGCACCCTCTTCCCTCCCTGCAGTTGTCTGTGAGCCCAGGCTGGCCTGCCCTGTGCCCCTGTGACAGCTGTATTCCAGTAACWCATTGTGACTCAGATATGGAGCTACAAAATGTAGGATGATTACAAGAACTGTCAGCCTTGAGGTACTACTGCAAAGGATAAGAGCAATCACACAGTTAACTAGTATAGTGCTGTTCAGGGCAAGAGTATCAGAGCACTTTGTGAGTTCCATTAACTTTCTACCACACCCCTGGAGGAAATCAATAATTCAGTATTACCTGGTATGAGAAGCACAGGACATGGAAGCACCAGAGAATCCCAAAATCCTGAYCTCTCTCTAAAACACATCTGCACACTCATCCTGCAAACTCAGGCAGTCAGGGGAACCCAGACCTTACAGGTGTGTCAAGGGACACACATGAGTCACACAGGTTTGGGGGGAAAAGACCATACACGTGATTTTACTGAGACAGGTAACAAGTTATGTCCTTCTTCACCACTTACTTCATCAACAAAGAGCTGAGCAAAGACTTACTATTCCCCATTACTTGTATTGCTAAAGCCTGGAGAGTATTCCATGTTTGTTATCCAAACTGTGCCACTAAGTTTCTGGAAGGCTGCAAAGTAAGAAAAAAGACAACTTATATACGTGTTTTATGGTCTGTAGTCCATGGACAGGTGTGTGACAGCATCCATTATTCCTGGCCACAATGCACCAACCAGCTCTCAGAAATGTAGCCAAGACCCCAAAAGTCTAAAAGTAAGTCACCCATCTTAGTCTGCCCTGTCTGAGCCCCAGATGATTCTCAAGAAGGGCACTGACCTCCYGTAGATCTCAKAGGTGCCAGCTCTGCCTTGGATGCTCTGGGATGTCTGAAATGTAGCTCTGTTTGGGCACTGGAATTGCTGTCGCAGGTTCAGTGGTTGTCCCTCCAGAGGGGAACCATTGCAGCATCAATTCCTCCCTGCAGCTTTGGAGGAAGGCTGGGCAGCTGCCTGAGCTCAGACATCTACCCTTTGGAATAAGATGAACCCCAAGAGGGTGTACATTTGTCCCTGAATCCACATCTGCTGAATGACAGTGAAGCAGACTCAAACATTTCAGTTTATTTCCTGATTTCTCTGAGTATCCCAGTATCTCTGTGTTTGGTATTGTCACTACAGWTACTGAAGTGATCAGACAAGGGCTTCTCAAGCCATGGTTTGTGCCCCTGGCATCCATTTAGKGATGGCTGCAATCACCCAACACTGTGACCACAGCCAGCAAATTGCCTTCACTCTGTCCCAGCTGCTAACAAATCATCACTCCTGGCACAGCAAGATCTAATGTTTCCAAGGTTTATATAAACATAGGACAGTCTTCACCAAAAACTTCAAGAACCATCATCTCACTAAGGATTCGTTTAAAATTGTTTATGAATC